GGCAAGGCCGGGATGCAGGTAACCCCAAAGTTGCCCGTGTTGGACCCTGTGAGACTGTCTGTGGTTCTGTTTCATCTCTAGTTCCCTTTTGGGAGTGAGCTCAGCTTAGTGGAAGACATGCTTGTACCTTCTGAGTGCACATCAGCTCAGGGTGCATGCAGGGGAGGTGGTCTGGGCTGGGCTCTGTGGCTGGGGGAGCTGATTTAGGATGGGGAGGACACCCCCTCTTCCTCCTGCCCCCACCCCACCATGAGGTGACTGAGTACATTGCAGTCCTTGTTGACTGACCGTCTAGGGTGGGATGCGCATGGGTGAGGAATGGTAGCTTCCAGTCTCTGCTGTTTTCATGTACTTACCAGGTACCAGGGGCTGTGTTTTACTTACACGAATATGCAAACAGCCCTGCGGTTATTGCACTATTATGAGTCCCCTTTACAGATGAGGAAATCTATGTGCAGAGAGGTTAAGTTCCAGGCGTGCAGCTGGCCCATCGGAGCACTTAGGTGTGAAAGTAGGAAAGTACACCTTTCCTCCGTATGTGGTCTCCATCTCAGAAAATGGTCATATTTGATTTTATGAGAACAAGACCCTTCACGGACACGTGCTGCCACACCTGCTATAAGTCTACAAATCTACGAAGTCTCCCACACATTGAACTCCCCCCAGATGTTGAGCCCTTGAGCTCTGCGAAATCTGCTTCTCATCCTGCTCCCCAGCGGCAAACAATCTGAAGTCTCTGGGCTGTTTCTCCTGGTACTTGCCTCCAGTTCTCTCCCCGTCAATTGTGTGTATTATCTATGGAATTCCCCTTATGAGAAATGAAGACTTAGCTCTCCCCATTTTTCCTCCCCAATTCTTGCAGTTGAATGAATATCACAGTTTTAACTTTAATAAGTATTTACTTTCTTAGGGCATAATACTATATACTGTATATAATAATATATAAATACTATTCACTGAAAATTCAATCATGTACTTTAATTTCATTCTTTCCTGTAAGAACTTGGATTTTCTTGGCGTCTCTGATTCCTTTTGTTCCCCTTCTGCACTATCTCTAACATCATACTGACGGCTAACATTTTGAGCGCTCACTGTGTGCCAAGCTCTGGTCCAAGGTGCCTTGCAAGCATTCTCTTGTGACCCTCCTGACAAGTCCATGAAAATGTACGCATTGTTACTGTTACAGTCCAGGAAGTACAGACTCAGAGAGGTTAAATAAACTGGCCCACGATCCTGCCTATTAAGTGGCAAAGGCAGGTGTTAAATCCAGATAGTTTGACACCAGGCCCCCAGCTCTTAACATTTTACTGCATGTCTTTAATTACATTATGCTGTATACTGTTTTTTCCCCTCTGAAGTCCTCCTTTTTGGGGACTTTCCATCCTCCTGCTTCAACTTTGGGTCTAGGCTGAAGCATTGTTTCCTGGAGCTCTGTTTTTTTTTATCTGTTTAGTCACTGGTTTTGCTGGGTTTTATCCTCAAAGCAGCTGCCTTAGAAAGGGTGCATAAATTTTTTACATCTTTGCAAGTCTTAAAACTCTTCATTCTAACCTCTTGCAGTGATGCAATGTCTTCAAAATTATAAGGGAAAATGCTTTCTCATCTAGAATTTTACATCCAACCTGTCTTGCCGCATCTCGTTGTGTTTGGGATAAGTCTGATGTCATTCTGATTCCAGTCCTTTGGTATGTGATTTTTTTCCTCTTGAATTTCAGGGAGATTTTATAATCTTCTCTTTATTCCTCTGTTCTAAAATTGCATGTCTGTAGTATTTCTTTGATAAATTCCTTCCCTCTTTCTTTCATTTCTCCTCCTGAAACTCCAGTTAATTAGACGTTGGACCAGCTGGATCCACTGTCTATGTTTCCTTTCCTAATGTACATATCTTCATCTTTCACTTTTATTTTCTGGGATGTAATCTTAACCTTATTTTCTAATCCCTCTGTTGAATTTTTAAATTTTAACATTCATATTTGTAATCCCCAAGACCTCTCTTTTACTCTATGCTTGTTCTTTTTCCGTAACACCCTCTTCTTTTTTAATGAATGGAACAGCCTTTCACACTTTTCTGTGGTCACTAATGAGAGCCTTTTTTGAAACTTTCTTCTGCTTCTTGTTTTCTCCATTTCCTCCATAATTAGATTTCTGTTTGTTTTGGGCTCCCCTTTTCATCTTGTGGGCTTTCTTTGAGTACCTGGTAATCCCTTTTTATCTGTGCGTATTTCAGAATAAGGCACAAAAACCTGGATGGTGGTTGAGGCTTGTTGTCTGCTTGGCTTTGTTGAGGATCAGATGAGGTACTCCCAAAGGACCCCCCAAATCCTGTACATAGGACTTTTGAATTGTGGACCATCGACTTTCTCCAGGAGCAGAACACTGCTCTGCAGGGAGGGTGGGGGAGGAGGTGCACCACTGCTTTGGATGGGCCCCTCAGCCTTCATTGCTGCTCCCCTCTTCCTCCACCTGGGGTCTCCGGGTCCACAGGCCTCTCTGGGCTTCTTCAGGGAAAGCTGGCTGTCACCAGAAAGATGAGGGATGAGTCTTAGGTTTGGTGGACACTGACCCCAGCCTACGGCAAACAGAGGTCAGCCTGTGTTTTTCTAGCAGTGGCTCACCTGCCCGTCATCACCCAGAAAAGTTGAGACATCATTGGATTTGCTACTTGGGCTGCGTCTTCTCTGGTCTGCGTCCTCTTGACTCGGTGGGTGGAATGCCTCCCCTATCCTCTGGGAAGTGCCATTGCCCAGAAAGAATTGCCCGTGGCTCTTGCTGTGTCTTGTAAATCCGGGAGAGTTGGAGAGAAGCCATGCATCAGCCCTCAGAGAACCCATGTGCTCATAAACTCATTTCTCCTGTAGGCCGAGAAATAAAAGGGGTTCAGATCTGGTCCTCTAGGCTGCTCCTTGTCATCAAAGAGGCCTAAGGACTTGTCTTGTTGGCATGTTCTGAGCTTGCTCCCAGAGGGTCCCAGAGCTTGCTTCTGGGAGTCGTGAGGGCTTCCTTCCCTGTAGTCATCTGTCCTGGCAAACCCTAGCTGTGGCCCCCTCCTTCCACAATTCTCCCAGTGGTCGGCCCAGCATCCTGCTTCCTGCTGGAGCCTCCTTAGTTCATTGCTTCCATTCAGCTGTTTTGAATATCCACGTGCCAGGCATGTTGGTGAGCCCGGCAAGCTCACCAGAACAGGTGAGCACTGTTCTGGCCTCAAGGGGCTTCGAGGTGGTTCTGAAGAGTGGATGACGCAGCAGCCACATTTGGAATAAACTAGCTGCCCTGCCATCACTTGCTGCTTAAGGGAGACCTGGGGCAAATCCTTTTGTGATTTAAATAATTAGCTTTTGATTGTAAATATGTGTCTGGGACATTTATTTATGTCCGTTGTGTTCATCTGGACTTTCAGATATCTTGCCAGGCCTTATTAGCCCAGGGCTTGCCTGGGTGCAGGTTGCCCTGACCATCTCTACAGCAGCGGTCACACTGAAGCAGCCTGTGCTCCGTGTTGGTGGAACTGCCTCCCAGAGACGGCATCTGTCTCTTCAGACTGGTGGGGACTTCATTTCACAAAGATTATCAGCACCTACTTTGGGCCAGATATGGTCTGGGTGTGAGACTTCCAGAGATTTCTCTAGGCAGCTACTTCCCAAAGTTTGATCCAGGGAACCCAAGTTCCCCAGGGAAGTATTAAGTATTAAGCAGGAAGTGACTCCCTAGTCAGATGCTGGTTTCTTCTTGCGGTGGATGAGGTCCTGCACACTGTGAGTCCGCACGAGGGACAGGAGCCCAGTATGCCCCAAATTTCTTTTTCCAAGAAGAATATCTGTGCGTTTTAAATCACAGTGAATGTAACAGACCAGTGCTCTTTTGAGCACGCTCTGGGCCATTCTGCCAATGACCCCCGACTGCTCCCAGAAATGGGTCTGGATTTCTACATGGGCTGCTTAAGGGCAGCTGTCCCCACACAGGGTGGGCAGTGAGGGGCTTGAGGTCGAGCTGCACTTGCAGAGCCAGCACACAGTGTTTACTGCTCACCTGCAGCTTAAAATAGCAAAATGATCTCAAGGTGCTTTAGATGGCAGAGTTCCAGGTCAAAGTTTATCCTCATAATTGCTTTTGCTCAGAAGGAGGCAGCTTAGGGGGACATTAATGCCCCCTCCCTGGTGCTGGCCTTGACCACAGCTGAGCTAGCCCCGGGAGGCTGCATGCTGGGGTGACCCTGGGCAGAGTCCCCGTCTGGCCTTGCTTTCTCGCTGTGAGGGCCTGGGTGCAGGTGGGTCAGGGGACTGCTCTGGGCAGCTGGGGCTCCGGGCGCCCCCTCGCACCCCACCTTGGTGTCAGCTTCAGTGTGTCCTTTTGTCTGTTGTATTTATTGCTACTTCAGTGAAAGTTTCATTGGGACCAAGGGCTTCTGGGGCTAAAACATTTGGAAACCACAGGAAACACAGGCTCCCTTGCTCTCTAGGGCCCCACTGCGTCTGTTTCAGTTTAGAGACTGGGTGCCTGATACCTGCGCAGTCATCCTTGAGGGAGCAGGGGGTCGCAGGCAAATGTTCCCCAGAGGGCTCTGCCAGGAACACGACCTGTGGGATGACACTTGGGGAGGAGCCGAGACCATTGCCCCTCACCTCTATTTTTAGGTACCAGTGATTAGAGACTGGGGGCCCTGTGTGGGGAGGAACCTACAGACTCACCCCACAGGCAGCCTGAACACGTTTGGGGCATCAGCAAAGTAGGAGCATCAACATTTTGTTTTTAACTTGCAGAAGCATCAAATTTTTCATCATGGCAAAAATCAAGACGCTGCTGAATGGCCTCATGTTTCTTTCTGCTTTGGTCTTGCGTCTTATTGTGAATTAGATGGGTGTGTGCTGGGTGGGACCCTGGCTGCTCCTGAGTGCTTTAGGCCTCTAAAGGTCTTACTCTGCCCTGGGATCTCTGAGGCCCCCTTGTAGAGTCCAGCTTTCAGGTCCGTGACCTAAAAGGATCCCTTTTCTTCTAACCTTCAGTTTCAGCCACCCGAACTCCTGCCTGCTCTGGGCAGATTCTTAGAATATTTGCCCATCAGCAGCCTCTCAGAGAGGAATGTTAAATGCTACCATGATGTCAAAGGGCCCCCAAGGAGAAGGGCCTGGGCCAAGCCCAGCCTGTCACTCGGGCCACGGCAGAGTGGGAGATAAGCAAAGGCAACGGCTCGGAGAGAGCCTGGTCCTCTGGGCTCCCTGAGCAGCCCAGGCGATCCTTAGCTAGAGAACAATGAACTTCCAGACGCCTCTGCCCAAGTGAAAACCAGAGGTCTGTGGCTCTTCCACTTCCTCACCCCTGCGAGCCTTCATCAGGATGTCAGGAGCCCCCAAGGAGAGTTTGGGGGCCCAGGGACTGCCAGGGTTGGGCAAAGCCTGCTTAACCACCATGGACAGAAAGCTTAACGTGCTGAATGAGAAGGTTGACCAGCTCTTACATTTCCAAGAAGATGTCACGGAGAAACTGCAGTGTGTGTGCCAAGGCATGGGCCACCTGGAGCAGGGCCTGCATCGGCTGGAGGCCTCCCGGGTTATGGGCCCGGCTAGGGCCGACTCCTCTCCCTCGGCTGACGCGCAGGCCGGGTGGCCAGAGGTCCTGGAGCTGGTGAGGGCGGTGCGGCAGGAGGGTGCCCAGCACGGTGCCCGGCTTGAAGCCCTCTTCCGGATGGTGGTGGCTGTGGACAAGGCCATAGCTCTGGTGGGGGCCGTGTTCCAGAACTCAAAGGTGGTGGATTTCCTCATGCACGGGAGTGTCCCCTGGAGGAAGGGAAGCCTGGTCGACAGCCCTGCGGAGGTTGGTTCCTGCCTCCCTGCCCCTGGCTGGAAGGGAGGCTCAGGGGCGCTGGTGGGGAGACCCATCAGGAAGCTAGTCCTAGGAGAGCTGCAGGGCTGTTGTCCCCTCTTGTGCCTCCTGTGTGACCTGTTGACAGGAAAAAGGAGAGGTGGAAACTTAAAGGCTGTAGGTGGACTTCCAGAAATGACAGGATAGGTAGATTTCTCCCAGGGAAAGGGAGAGGCAGTGCCCTGGTGAGGGCTGTGGGCCTGGGCAGTGCAGCGCACTGAGAAAGAAGCAGGGGACAGATGAGCCATTAGGGAGACGAGGGCTGTTACTCTGACATCCCAAGCCCTCTCGTCTCCTTTCTGTTCCTCTACACCTGGGGTGGGGGAGAAGCGGGCAGTGGTCTGTCTACCCTGACAGAGCCCCCCTCAGAAACCTGACCCCCCTCCCTTCCTGTCCCCAACCTTGTGCTTTGTCCCAGAGTGGGCGGGGTGTGCAGCTGCCTGTGGGGAGATGAGTGTTGACAGTGACCCATGGGGGACACCGGCCAGGCAGGAGCCGGAGCCTGGGGGTGGAGTGTGGCATTTCTGGGAGTGCCTGTTCCCAAATGTTGCATAACCAAACCCACTGGCTAATGGAAGCTTGGCTGACATGGGGGTGTCTGTGTGTGTGTGTGTGTGTGTGTGGTGTGTAGAGGCGACACTGTTTGGGAACAGCTGAGGGTCAGCCACCTAGCAACACTCACGTGGCCTGGAGCCCCCCCCCCTTCAGATCTCTGCAGTTGCCCCCCTGGTAAGAGAGAAGCTAGGGTCCACAGATTCTGTGCTTAACTCTGTGTCAGCTACTGAGGCCCAGGAGCAAGGCTGCCGGAGTTTGCCTTCTCTCCCGCCCCAGCCAGGCCAGAACTCACTCTGAGAACCCCCTCCCCTCCCCCCGCAGCTTCCCCAGAGCTGGCCCCTTCCACCCAGTTTCCAGCTTTCTGCAACCCACCCTCCCCCGTGAGTCAGGCCTGCAGGGGAGATGTGACCTTCTGCTCTTGACACTGATAACCAACCACAGCTTGAAAGAAAATAAATCTAATATATGCACGTGGTAAAAAACATTCTCCCTCCTCCTCCACCCCCCAACCCCCAGGACAACCCTCCCCCAGCAATCACAGGAGGCAGCTTCCCGTGAAGCCTTCCAGATACAGTCTGTTTATCTATAAGCATATTGGTCTACACACCACCCTCTTTGTTTTGTTTCAACTCAGATATTATTCATATTGTAGTGGGCTTGATTTTTTTAACTGTAATTTTTAATATAGTTAGCATAGTTTCATATTTAGGGCTAGAAAACGTCCTCGTTCTTGTTCTTAAAGTTGCAGACAGTTCTGTTTTTGAGGATGTGTCTTAATTTGTTAGTCAATTATCTAAAATATAAGGGCTCTTAAAAAAACATTAACCTGATACTGTTATCATATCTAAAAGGTAAATAACTTGATATTACCAGGCAGCGTTCAAATGTCCCTGACCAGCTTATGCCTTACTTATTTATTTTTACAATTTGTTTATTTGAGTTAAGACCGCAATAAGGCAGCTGATTATATGCCTCTTAAATCTCGTGCTTTTTTTAATTCACAAAATAAAAAAAAACTTTTTGTTATGAAAAACTTCAAACTAAAAGTAGAATGATAGATCTCGTTCTGGTTTTAATTTGCTCCTGTCTTTTTCTCTCTTTTCTATTTCATTTTTTTGCCTTTTTTCTTGATTTGTAAGAATTTTCACACATTAGTGAAATTAGCTCTCCCACGTGTTAGGATATTTGGGCATTTCTGGATAGGGTGAAGTCAAAGAACTCTCCGTTTTCTGAGTTCCTGCCATAGTTCTTGTCTGTGACTAATCTGGCACGTGATTGATCTTTCTTCTGTCTTTAATACACACATTGGGTAGCTAGCGGAGGGCTGGATCTCACCTCCCAGTCTGGCTGTCAGCTCCTCATCAGCACCTGAGGCTTCGGCTTCCCTCTGTGTGTGTGACCAGGGCGGGGCTGGTCTCAGGGGGTGTCGGAGAGTGGGCTGGACCGAGCCCCAGCTACTTAGCACACTGTCGATGCTGAAAGCAGTGCATTGTGGAGACTTTGTGGAGACCCTCCTTGTATTTCCCAAGGGAGTAGGGACAAAGAGGTCATTTGTGCATTTGAATTTGATCCCAGCACTGGCTGCCAGGACTTTGTGAAGCTCCTCTTCCTTCTGGAGTGCCCAATGGTGCTTCATTTGGTTGTAACAACGTGGAGGACAGGTTCAGACCTCGCCAGGGTGGCCTGAATCAGTCCAACTGCTCAGGAGGCATCAGTCCTAGATGCCTAAGTGTCTGGGGTCTCTTCTCCATCTTCTGGATGCACTGGACAAGGCAGAGACCAAAAGCCTGAGCCCTGAAGACAAAACCCAGCTCTGCATATGTGTGTGTATGTGCGTGTGCACGCGCACGCACATGTCTCCTGCCACCAAGACAGAGGGAGGGAGAGGACAGTCTGAACCCAACAAGGTCTGCCAAAGGACAGTCTGTTCAAGTCCCTCCCTACTGGTGGATGAAACAGGAGGCAGCCGTGATAATGCTTCCAGTTCCTCCAACTACGGGGGTGGCAAGACAGAGTCTGTAGAAAGAGATGAAGGCAGAAGTCTCTGCTAGCAGGGAACCCGGGTCACATTGACAATGCTGGTGATAATCATGATGACAGCAGCCAGCATTTACTTACTAAGTGCCTGCCACATGCCAGGCCCTGGGTTATGTGTTCACATGTGTTATGTTGTTACTGTTGAGGGCAAAGCTGGGGGAGGTGCCAGGAAGGCAGAGCGGAGAGACAGCTCGCCCTCTCCCACAGATACACCAAGAATTACATCTACAAGCCCACTGAATTGCACAGAACACCTACTGAACTCTGGCATAGTGTCTGTCACTTCGAAATATAGAAGGATTCTCAAAATCCAATAAACAACAAGTTTATATTGTGTAGCACAGGGAACTATATTCAATATCTTGTAGCAACTTATGGTGAAAGAGAATATGAACGAATATATGTATATTCATGTATCACTGAAGTACCATGCTATACACCAGAAATTGACACATTGTTAAGTGACTATACTTCAATAAAAATATATATATTAAGAAAAAAAGAGGGCAAAGCTTACTGCCCTGGAATCCCAAAGGCATAAGCAGGAAACAGGATTGGGAGAAGCGGGGGCAATATAGGAAAAACAGTGGAACCGACCTTCATCCTTAGTGTCAGGGAGACATTCAAGAGACGTGAGGACTGTGGTGGCCCAGTTAGAGGGAATTGCTCCAGCCGATTTTTGCCATGTGGGCATAGAGCTGCCAGATTGTCAGAATATTTCCAAGACAAGCTAGGAACCTAGAATTTTTTCTAATCAGTTTTAGTAAGGTATAATTTCCATACAATAAACTGCACATACACACACTACATATGCACATTTTAAGTTTATGGGTCAGCAAATGTATACAGCTAAATAATCAACACCATTAGCAAAATACAGAACAATTCTATAACCCCAAATGGGAGCTTAGATTTTTTAATGTAAAAATCTTCTAGATTTAAAATGATCATAACAAATTTAAAATTTTTAAATGTTATGCAAGCCAAACAAAATGCGAGCTCTTTTTGGACCCTGGGCTCCTAACTGGGGCCTCTGTGGCCAAGGCAGGAGAAAGGCCCTCCAGTCTCTGGGCTGAGATGAGACCTGCTTTTGTGACAAGCGCCAGGAGGGATCTTAGGGGCTGCACCAGTCAAAGGCTCAGAAGCACCGGGGAACCCAGCAAGGGTCAGGCCACCTAAAAATATTTGCACTTGGAAATGCTCAGTGCTCTAGATGATTTTAGGAGCACATGCACCGGCCTGGCGTGGACCATTCTGAGTTAAGGCAGAACCGCCGAGAGCCTCTGAGTGGGCTCAGCATGCTTACATGATCCACCCTCAGGCAGGACACAGTCACCAAAACTACTGAGCACTGACCATGTGCTGAGCACACTTCTCAGGAAATTAACTCCCCCAATCTTCCCACTAGCTCTACAAGTAGATAATATTCTTCCCATTTCTCAGATGAGGAAAGTGAGATGCAGAGAAACTAAGGATCTTGGCCAAGTGGTGAAGGTGGGCTTTAAACTCAGTAGCTCTGGCTCAAGTGTCTGTGAAGCCACGCTCCCGGCCACACTGCTGTGCTGTAAAGGGGCGACCATGGGATCCACCCACCCAGCTTCCAAGCAGACATTATTCATTGACTGTGGCACTCTCCTCCCGAAAGCATGATTTATCTGACTTCAGTATACAGCCCAGGCCAACACTATAAGAGCCATGAATGATTGATTGACACTTGAAGATTAAATTTCTTTCCCAGGCCTGGTATAAGTATTTTGAGGTTGGGTTTATTTAGATTGCCCTGCCAGGGGCTGGGTCTGCCCCTTACCTGCAATGTGGTGACCCATTTGAAAGGACTTGTGACCTTGGAAAAGCCTGTGTGCTTATCTCTAAAATGACAATAGTGACAATAGTAATATGTGTCCTCTAGTGTTACTGTGAGACTATGTGAAGGAACCTAAGTGCTTCTATCTCAAGCCCGTGGCAGGTGCTCGACAAACGTTTGTGGCCTGAATGATGATGTTGATGATGACGATCATTGTTATGATTGTTCTTTTAGAGCAGAGAGCGAGTGGAAGAGAAAGGAGCCAAACCAAAGCACACGCTGAGCACCAGAGGTGTACAAGCTGAGCTCAGGGCGCCTTGGGAAGGTGAGCGGGGCCCCGTTTGCTTTATTCCACGTGCATACCTGACGGTTTCAGAAGAAAACCACCACCACCACCACCAGTGTGATTGCTGAACTACTGTTAAAGCTGCTGCTGCTGCTACTTCTTCTTTTTTTTTTTTGCAGTTCTTTTTGTCATTTATGTCTATCCCACTGTGTAATGCGATGTTTTAAAGTCACTTGGAATAATTCCTTCCTATTATAAGTTTGGTGTAAGCTATGCCACCAAATTAATACTCAGGTTTATTTCACTCAGCTTTAAAATTTTACGGATTGTTTTTTTAAAAGTTTAATTGTCTTTTATAATTTTGCATAATAGGTACACATTTCCAAAGTCAAACTGACAAAACAAGGTACATTAAGAGAAGCCTCGCTTCTGTGTGTGTTTCTGACATCCTGCTTTCTCCCCCACATATGTAACCATATGTGTTTTTGTCTTATCTTTCCTTTGAGGTCCAGTCTCTTTAGACCACATTATAAGTATTTACACACACATACACACACACACACACACACACACACACACCCTCCCTTCTTAGACAAGCAGAAGCACACCGCACACACTTTTCATCACCTTGCTTTTCTCCCTGACAGGACGTCCTGAGATCACTCCATAGCTGCATATGGAGGTACTGGTTTCTCCTTTTCTATGCCTGGGCAGCACTCCTTGTGTGATGTGCCCTGGTTTAGTCAACCAGCCCCCTCCGGATGGTCAGTTGGGTTGTTTCCAGTCTGCCTATTATAAACACGATGCACTGAATGGCCCTGTGTTTTCAAAATATCTTTGGAACAGGTTCCTCTAAATGGGAGTCATTTATATCCTGTTTATTTTCCCATAGAGACCCAGAAGGTGGGCCTGCCAGAGGGGACAGTGGAGAGGCTGCCCCCCATCAATGCTTCGGGGATAGGACCTGACCTCCTCACCCAGGCAGAATCCTCACTGGGGCAGGGAGAAGGAGTTCCTGGCCCAGCACAGGTGCTCCCAGCGGTGGAAGCCAGAGCTCCTGGGGCATCCTGCGAGAAGTCCGGGACTGGCCTGGAATTATCTGCAGTGCCTGACAGGGTCAGTGAGGCCCCCACCAGCCAGGAGGCTGCACCGGGTGCAGGACAAGGAATATCGTCCAGTAGGCCTGACCCTCGGCCCTCAGAGGAGGGCATGAGGCTGACTCCAGGGCCACCAGCCCAGGCCAAGGCAGCTCACAGTGGTGGAGAAGCACCTCCAAGGTAAGGGGTAGTCCTCTAGGGTGGCAAGGGAAGGAATTAACTTGCAGCCCCTTGCCTGCAACATGGCCAGGGGCCCAGCTGCTCTGGTGGTGTCTGCTGTGTGCACAGCATTGGCTGGCCTCATGAGGGGAAGACAGAAGGCCTAGACTCTGCTTCCAGGAGCTCGGAGAATCTGGAATAGTTTGAGAAGGATAGGCACCAGTATTTTATATGTTTGGTAGAATTACCCTGTGAAGCTGTCCGAGCCTGGACTTTTGTTTGTTGGGAGTTTTAAAAGTTACTATTATTATTACAAATCCTATTTCACTACTAGTGATTGTCTTGTTCAAATTGTTCTTGATTTGATCTTGGCAGGTTTTATGTTTCTAGAAACTTGTCCATTTCTTCTAGATTGTCCAATTTGTTTGCATATAACAGTTCATAGTATTCTTAGGATTTTTTGTATTTCTGTGGTATTGGTTGTTATTTCTCCTCTTTCATTTCTTATTTTGTTTATTTGAATCCTCTCTCCTTTCTTCTTGGTGAGCCTGGTTAAAGGTTTATCAATTTTGTTTATCTTTTCAAAAAACCAACTCTTGGTTTCATTGATCTTCTCTGTTGTTCTTTCATCTCTGTTTTGTTTATTTCATCTCTGATCTTTATTTTTTTCCTTCCTTCTGCTGACTTTGGGCTCTGTCTGTTCTTCTCTTTCCTTTAGGTGGTAGGTTAGGTTATTTATTTGAGATTTTTATTGTTTTTTGTGTTGCTATGAACTTCCCCCTTAGAACAGCTTTTACTGCATCCTGTAGATTTTGAAGTGTTGTGTTTCCATTTTCATTTGTCTTGAGGGATTTTCTGATTTCCTCATTGACCCACTGGCTTTTTAGTAGCATGTTGTTTAGTCTCCACGTGTTTGCTCTTTTCTCATTTTTCTCTCTGTAGTTGCCATCTAATTTCATACCATTGTTGTTGGGAAAATTGCTTGATCTAAGAATACATATTCTTTTCAAATGCACATGGAATGTTCTCTGGGATAGATCACATGTTAGGCCACAAAACAAGTCTCAAGAAATTTAAGATGGATCTAGGTGTTTGGACTCCAGAATCTGTGCCCTTAACTATTGCATTATCCTGCTTCTTCAAGTCAGCATTTCATTAAGTCCTAAATACTATGGTGGGGAGAGAAGAATGGGCACTCAGAGGTGGGAGGTTGGTGTGGGCTGAATCAATCCAGGGGGCTTTCAAGAAGATTATGCTTGGAGTCCTGGAGGTGGGGCTGTGTCCTGACCCTCAGGACTTGGCCTCAGGACCTGCCCTCATCAGGCATGGTGCAGGAGAATGGAGAACCAGATCCTCTGACCGTCGGTCCCTAGCACTGCGCTCTCCAGCCCCGGGGCAGTGTGTCCTGGCCCTCAGGCAGCGCACTTATGGGCACTGTGCTTTCTGGGCTTCTCATTCTTCTGATGCCCTTCTGTGGCTGCCATGGTATCTTGGCCTGAAACCATGCTCCCTGAGGCCTGGTGCAGGGAGGGGAGCTAATGTCTGTGTGTGCTGTGGCAGCTGGCAGGGAAGCCCAGATCCTTTTTCTGCCTTTGTTCTGGAAGGAAATGTGAGTCCCCAGGAGACCCAGCCAGCCAGAGGGAGGGATTCCTGGCAGGCATCCTTGGATCCTGGCCAGGACTCTCCATGTGGAATCTGGGGTGACTGTGAACTTTCCATGAACCTGTTAGGGGCCCCAAAATGATTCTAGGTGAGGGGGAAGGTCTATATGTCAGTTTCAACCCTGAGCTGAATTTTAGACAGGGCTCAGGAAGTAGGGAGATCACTGCCTACCTTCTCTCACCTAGCACATGGGTATATCTTGAGGAAAATGGATTTGAACTCAGCATTGGTTCTGCTTAGCAGTGGCTGCCTGTGTAGAGGATCCTGAGGCCCTCGCTGGATTTGGTGGGACAGAGGGCTGCAACTGATTAGCAGTGCCCGCCCTGGGTGAGCTGCGCAGGAGGTGGGAAGCCCTGGGTACTCAGAGTGGCGTGGGAACACATGGCTGTTCTTTGGGGTCATCCATGGCTCCAGGTGCAAAGGCTAAGGGGAACACAGTGAGCGTTGGCCTTCTCAGCTGGCCACTGACCACCTGCATACTCTTCCATCATCTGGTTTCCTGTGTCCCTCAGTCAAGATGAGACCTGAGCTGGGCTTAGATGCCACCTTTCCCATCCAATCCTGTCATCACTAACTCAGACTTCCTCCTGAGGGAGTGTTGGGGGAATTTTACTGCCTCCCACCCAAGGCTTGGCTGTGAACAGTGCATTCAGGAACAGGCACTGCTGTCAGAGTACGTGCAACAGCGCAGAGAGGGGGCCCCAGCCTCCAGCTGCTGGGGAAAGCCCTTGCTTAAAAAAAATTGTGGTTAATAAAACACATAACATAAAATTTACCATCTTAACCATTTTAAAGTGTACAGTTCAATAGTGTAAAGTATATTCATGTTGTTGTGACACAGATCTCCAGAACTTTTTCGTCTTGCAAATCTGAATCTTTGTAACCATCAAACAAGTCCCATTTCCCCTCCTCCCAGATCATGATAACCACCATTCTGCTTTTTGTCTTTATGACTTTGTCCCTCATATAATTCATTCATTCATATATGTGGAATCAGTCTTTCTGTTTCTGGCTTTTTCACTTAGCATAATGTCCTCGAGGTTCATCCAGGTAATAGCATGAGTCAGAACCTCCTTCCTTTTTAAGGCCAAAGAATACTCCATTGTATGTGTCGACTGAAATAAATGCACAATCTAAAAGTTGAGAGTCATGTTTTATTCGGTGGACAATTCTGAGGACTCAGCCCAGGATGACAGCCTCTCAGATGGCTCTGAGGGACTGCTCTGAAGAGGTAGGGGAGGAGCTAGGATATATATGAGTTTTACAACAAAGACCAGGTAGTTGGAACATTAAAAGATTACTTGTTATCTAAAGAAAACCAGGGATCTCAAGTTAAAGAATTTAGCACTTTTCTATGTATGGAAGGAAGCAAACATTTGGGCTCATTGAATTCATTACTTTGACAAGCACCTAGCTATCTAGGGCCAGTATCCTGTCCTTTCTTGTTCTGAGTCCCCTCAGAGTGCACAATTGTGAGTGGCTGCCGAGGCTGGGCTGTAGGCTCGCCTTCACTGAGGGGTGGTGGCAGCCACTGATGACTTGATGGCTTTAGCATTCTTTGTTTACTGATATGGCTTGCAGTATTTTTCATTCACATATGTATATGCTATTTTTTGTTTATTCATTCATCTGTCAATGACACTTGGTTTCTTCTGCATTTGGCTGTTATAAACAATGCTGCTATGCACATGGGTATACTAATATCTCTTTGAGACTCTGCTTTCAATTCTTTTGGATATTTTTCCAGAAATGGGACTGCTGGATCTTATGATAGTTCTATTTTTCCATTTCTGAGGAACCACCATACTGATTTCCACAGCGGCTGCGCCATTTTAGGCTTCACAGTTAGAGCTCTCCTGCATTTTTGTTTTCCTTTCTTAGTCACTCTTAGCACATCTGTGAGGTGTTACCATCCCTGTTTGACAGAAGACTTGACCAAACCCAGCCCCATCCTGCAACCTGGTGGCAGAGCTAAGAAGACCAGGAAGGAGGCCACCGGGCTCCCTTCTGAGACCCAGTCCGTGCCAGACACCCCCCCGCCACCACTCCAACACACTAGACCCGGCAGTGGAGCAGTCAGAGTCGGGGCAACTCTGAGAGGGAGGGTCTGAAGCTGCCAGGGTCAGGGCCCTTCCCTCTGAACGTCAGGGCTTAGAGGGCCTTCCCAACCTCCAGCTGGGGGCCCAAACCATAATGCTGCTTGGTCTGGGTAACAAAAATGGATGAAGTGGGCCCAGTGGGGCCTGTGGGGTCACAGAGAGTTCCCTCAGCTATATAAGCACACAGCCCCAGCAGAGCCAGGGCTATTTATTCAAGAGAAATGGGAAGTCCAGACTCTAATGAGCAATTGCCTGATTTTTAAAATATTTTATTTATTTATTTTGTTTTTTGGGGGGAGATAATTAAGCTTATTTATTTATTTAATGGAGGTACTGGGGATTGAACCCAGGACCTCAAGCATGCTAAGCATGTGCTCTACTACTTGAGCTATACCCTCCCCCTGAGAAATTGCCTGATTTTAGTAAATTATGTCTACCCTGGGGATTCCAGTGTGATGTTTGACTTGGTTCAGCTTTCTCTTCATTTAATGGAAGGACAAATTGAGGCCCAGAGAAGGGAGAGAAGAGTCCAGGTCCCCTGCCTCCAGGCCACAACCCTCCTGGGGCAGAAGCAGATTTCCAAGGGCCATCAGAAGTACCTGGTGCCCACCCCTGTCCACCACAACCCTTGCTTCAAGCCTTCCTTGGATGCTGATCCAGTGGAATCCTGAGAGCTGATAACACCATACGCCACTGAAGCCAGTCTCTCCCCTGATGTCCTGTCTGGGCAGAGAGGGGCAGGGGTTGGAATCTGTGCTGATATCAACCACTTACTACTATCACAACCCAAAAGGCCCTTTTTACAGATGAGGAAACTGAGGCTAAGAGGCCCTGGTCAGTGAATGTCAGAAGCAGGCATTTGAACCCAGATCTGTTGTGACTCGAGTCCTTGCTTTTAACCTCAGGGCCGTATATCTCTCTGCTCCAGGATCTCCATCCACGTGCAGGAGACAGATACTCCTGGGGAACTGCTTGTGACACGAGGGGGCAGCCTCAGACACCCCACCTCTACAGAGCCTCCAGGAGCTGCCCATCCAGGTGAGAAAGACCCACCTGGGCCCAGGTGCTGCCCCCAGGCCCCTGGGATTGAGTCGGAAGAACATATCCCCAAAGGAGCCAGTGCATTTTCCCCACTGCGGAGGCGGAGCAGTGGCGGGGGAGCAAAGGCCAAGGAGAAGCAGGGGCCTGGGGCTGCTCCCTCTGCAGCGGCACTGAGCAGTCCCAGGAAGGACAAGGGCGCCGATGCTGGGGCCCCAGGCCCGCCGCAGGACGCAGACCCAGGAACAGCAAACCCTGAGCCTGGGAAGGACTGCACAGCCGGCGACACAGGCGGAACCGAAGCAGGAAGGAGGACGCCCCCGGGAGCAGAGTCTGGCAGCCTGGTTCTGGGTAAGTGAGGCCGCTGCTGTGCCCCGAGGGGAGTGAGATTGAAGGGCCTACTGCTGGGCATCTCCCTGAAGCTTCCAGGGAGAGATAATGTGGGTTTGGGCGAGTCCAAGACTTGAACAGTTTGCGGCATTTCCCCGGGCTGGAGATGGAGGCACGGAGAGGCAGGTTGGCTGTAGCTTTTGGAGAGGCAGGAAACTTTGGGTGGATTTCTCAAAGCCACCTGCCTACTGATACTATTGGAATCATTCTGGATTGAGACAGGGAAGGCTCGTATTAGAAAGCAAATCCACTAACTGGTGTATTTAACTCACCATCAGCCATTTGCACTGAATGGCCTGACTCTCATTCAGGATCAGGAAGGGGCTGCTGACCTGTTTTCTGTCCCAGTGGTGCTGACAGGCTTCCCTGTGCTCCTGTGACCCAAAGGGCCTCAAGTCCTCCAGCCCTTAAGGTCACACCCTCATTGGTCAGAGCCCTCATCCCATATGGCAGCAGGAAGGCCACCCTTTGCTGATACCCTGCCCCAGAATTTCTGGAAGTCCCTAAGGATGGGCTGAGTGTTCTGCAGGTCATCCTGTGCCTCCTGACACTTCCAGGCCCCACCGCTGCCCTGTCATGCTGACCTCTCTGGCTGCTTCCTCTCCCCTTGCATGACTTGGTCCCAGTGTGGGCACAGGCATCCCTTAGTTCCTGAAACACAGTGGAGAGCAGGCTGTGGCTTTTGAGTCTTTTCTGAGACTCCGGATGGTGATAAAGCCAACACTAGCAAGGCCTCAGTGTGTGCTGAGACCCGGGCTTCGGTGGTGGCATCGGTCCTCACAGGCCTCTGGTGTGGAGATGTGTGGAAACACAGGAGAGTCTGAGCAACACGCTTAAGGCCACAGAGGCAGCGCTGATGGGGCCAGGATCTGACTGTTGGGCTCCAAACCTTGTGGCTACACAGCTACTGAGGATAGAAGGCAGTTACTTTGCAGCAAAGGAAACTTCAGATGGGAACTCTAGATGTGGAATCCCTGTGACACAGCCAGAATCCAGGCTTTCCTAAACTTTCTAGGGGCCCAGAAAACAACAAAACCACCAATGTTACCCACTTGTAGTCCAGGGCTCGGGCTCACCTTTGCAGAAACAAAAAGGATACAAAATATGCTCTCAAAGCAAACTTTGGGAGCAGAAAGTTGCTTATCAAACAAAGAGAAAATAGCAGTATTTCCTCTGCTCTGGATACACGGCTGTGGAGGTAATGCAGTTGTCCCTAGAATATTTGGAGTGCTCCTGGGACCAGGCTCTGAACAAGTGGGTCTGGGATGGGGGTAGGGGGTGTGGGGGTGTGGGTGGGGAGCTGAGAGGTGGAGGCTGCACAATGGAAGCTCACAGGCTGCCGTCTCCTGAACAGATGACAGTCCGGCCCCGCCAGCCCCTTTCGAACACCGGGTGGTGCGTGTCAAGGAGACCTCGACCTCAGCGGGCTACGCAGTATGCCAGCACGAAGTCCTGGGAGGGTAAGCGGGCCCTCTGATTGATGGGGAGTGGGGCAGGGACACGGACAACTGAGCTGGATGTTGCTGGGTGGTTCCTGGGAACTGACTGAAGGAGCCACGGCCATGAGTGGGATGTCTGAGGGTTGGGGGAGGGCTCACAAAGAATGGGTGAAGAGACACCTGCAGAGTGCAGGGGAGCCCGCATGGTACGAGTGAGAAGAGGCGGAGGGTGCAGGGGGACCCACATGGTGTGGGCGTGGGACCCGTGTACTGGAGGTGGCAGGAGAGCCAACATGGGGTGGGTTAAGAGGGATGTCCTTTAGGGTGCGGGACTGCCCATGGGTGGGGGGGAGGGGGACACCCCTAGAATGCGGACGGCTCACACGAATAGGGTGAAGAAGATCTTCTCCAGGTTCAAGTAGCCTGTGTGATGTGGGGGTGATGACTGTGGTACAGGGGTGCAGGGTGATCCCCAGGGTGTGTGGGGGACAGAGGTAGGACTGGAAAAGCCCCGGGGCCAGGATGGGGATGGTCCACCACGTGGGGGGTGCACCTCTGTGGCTCTGAGCCTGCTGAGTCCTCGTGTCTCTGCAGGGGCCGATTTGGCCAGGTCCACAGATGCACAGAGAAGGCCACAGGCCTCTCGCTGGCGGCCAAGATCATCAAAGTGAAGAGCACCAAGGACCGGGTGAGGTGTTTGCCCCAGGCCAGGCTCAGGACTCCTTCCTTTCCTTCTGGGCTGCCCGGGCCCTGCACAGCCCCGGGCCCCTCCATGCTGAGCAGGAAACCTGGCCACCTTTCCTTCTTCTTTTCCATGATCCCCACCTTCCAGTCAGTGGTCACCTTGCACCCTGGGCAATGGGGCCCTCCGGGACCTCCAGGTTTCCTTCTTGGGCCTCAGGCTTCCTCTCTGGGAAATGGGTGGGTCAGACTAAGGTCCCTTCTGTTCTAAGAAGCTGGTGTGGGTGGTGAGTTGAGGAAACCTGGGGTAATGAGAGCAGGAACAAGGATGTGGGTGGGCGGGTGTGTGTCCTGGGAGGTGCAGCTGGCTTCTCTTCCTGACCGGTTTCTTGGAAACGCCTCTCCCCTCTGGCTCCACAAGGAGGATGTGAAGAACGAGATCAGCATCATGAACCAGCTCAGCCACGTGAACCTGATCCAGCTCTACGACGCCTTTGAGAGCAAGAACAGCTTCACCCTGGTCATGGAGTAGTGAGTGCAGGAGTCGGGCTGGGGCACAGGGCGGGGCTGGGAGCTGCGGTTCCAGGCAGAGCCCTCCCTGCCCCTCCCCTCACTGCGACTCCCAGGGACCACAGTCCTCTGATCTTCTTGGCACTCCAGTACGGAACGTGGAGGACCAAACCATGTGTCACAAACCAGCGGCCAGTGAACCTGGTCTGACCTGCAGATCTTGGTTTGGGCTACACAATTTTTAGTAGTTTTGATTTAGTTGTTAACAGTTGGAAATTGGGAAATTCCACATTAAAACCTAGATGTCGGGCTTTTCTTGAAAATATAAGGGCTCTAGTCATGCTGGATCCGTGTTTCCAGCTGGAAATGGCATGCTGGAGCTCATAGTAACTCACCTTTGCAGACAGGGCAGCCAGTCTCCCACTTGCTACAGTCCCCACCGCTTCCAACGACCCATGACACGGAGGCCGAGGGCTCAGGGGACGTTTATTATTGTGCTTGTGTTGCTCTTTCCTTCTGGTAGGACTGAGGAGAGGGAAACATTCGTCATGTCATTTTTCTATCAAAAGTGGGAAAACAAAAGTTAGATTAAGGGCTGTGAGTTTCAGGAAAACTTTTGTCTCATATCTGGTCTGATCTGTCCACTTAGGGTTCTTGCCATGTAGGAACTGACTGTTTCCTGTAGGCCAATGGGTTACAACCTAGGCCTAGGGTCTCTGGAGTGAGAACTGGGAGTGAGCCTGGATGATCAACCCTGCAGACAAGCCCCAGCCTCCCTCCCATTTGGCCCATCTCTTCTTTTTTACCACCCACACTCTGAACTGGGGATGGGGCCGAGCAAAGGCCCCCATAAAACCCCAGTTGGCAGTGGTGCCTGCGGGCTCATGTGGCGATAAGAGTGGACGAGCCCTCCGGGAGTCTTGCTCAGCCGGCGCCTGCCTCTCCCTTTGCCCTGGCAGTGTGAATGGGGGTGAACTCTTCGACCGGATCACGGAAGAGAAATACAACCTGACGGAACTGGATGTGGTCTTGTTCACCAAGCAGATCTGCGAGGGCGTGCATTACCTCCATCAGCACTACGTCCTGCACTTGGACCTCAAGGTCAGGCTACGCCCTGGGCATGTGGTGGGTGGGCCCCAGGTTCCCAGACTCTGCTGCTCCCTCATCTTTGAGAGCTCTGTCAGCAGACAGTCCTGGCTTCCTTTCCCGGCCCTGCCATTTCCTCACTCTGGGGTCTTGGGCCGGCAAGTCTCAGCCTCAGTTCTTCAATCTGTAAAATGTGGATAATATGTACCTCGTTAAGTGTTATTTGAAAATCAGATGATACAATCACCTTTTTTTCTATAAAAATATCTTTAAGATTAGTTTTTTAAAAATTAAAATAGGAAGATATGCATGTGGCAACAAATACAGATAATGAAGAAATGTATAAAATGTGCAGTGAAAGTTCTTCCCCCTCAGTCTCTATGCTGAGAGGTCTTCTGTACTAACAAAATTTGACATGACACACGGTCAGTCACACACAAAGGGGATTGTACTGTGCATCTTGTTTTTAAATTTGCCTTTTTTAGTTAATGCTACAGTGTAGACACTTTTTCTTATTCTCTTTAAGGGCCATACGATATTCTATTGACTGAATGCAATACACTTTCTTTTGTCTACTTGACAAAAAGTAAGCACTTGATACGTGGTGGCCATTCTTTTTCTTTTTTTTTTTCACATGTGTTTATTTCTGGAATGTCTATTCTGTTCCATTGATCTGTGTGTCTGTTTTTATGCCAATACCATCCTATTTTGATGACTATGATGCCTCCAGCTTTATTCTTCTTTCTTAAGATTGCTTTGGTTTTTCGGGTTCTTTTGTGGTTCCATACAAAGTTTAGATTGCTTGTTCTGTTTTGTTGAAAAATGCCATTGGAATTTTGATAGGGATTGCATTAATTCAGTACATTGCTTTGGGTAGTAAGACATTTTAACAATATCAATTCTTCCAATCCATGGGCAAGGACTGTCTTTCAATTTGTTTATGTCTTCTTTAATTTCTTTCATCAATGTCTTAGTTTTCAGTGTATTGATCTTTCATCAGCTTGGTTAAATTTTCTCCTAAGTATTTTTTTTTTTGATCAATTGTAAATTTCTCTTTCTGAGAATTTCTTGTTAGTGTATAGAAATGGAATTGATTTTGCATATTGCTTTTGTATTCTGAAAAATCTACTGAATTTATTTATAAGTTCTAACAGCTTTTTGGTGGAGTCTTTAGAGTTTTCTATATATATCATGTCATCTGCAAATAGTGACAGTTTTACTTCTTTCTTTCTGATTTGGATGGCTTTTACTTCTTTATTTTGCCTAATTACTCTGGCTAGGATTTCCAGTACTATGTTGAATAAAAATGGCAAGAGTGGGCATCCTTGTCTTATTCCTTATCTTAGAGGAAAAGCTCCCAGTTTTTCACTATTGAGTATGTTATCTGTCGACTTGTCATATACAACCTTTATTATGTTAAGGTACATTCTCTCTATAACCAGTTTGTTGACAGTTTTTATTATGAAATAGGTGTTGAACTTTGTTAAGTGCCTTGTCTGCATCTACTGAGGTGATCATGATTTTTATTTTCATTTTGTTAATGTGATGTGTCACACTGATTGATTTGCATATGTTGAACCATCTTTTCATCCCTAGAATAAATCGCATTTGATCATGGTGTATAATCCATTTTATATATTGTTTAATTTGGTTTGTTAATACTTTGTTGAGGATTTTTACATCTATGTTTGTCAGGGATATTGGCTTGTAATTTTCCTTTCTTATAATGTCCTTGTAATGTCCTTGTCTAGTTTTGGTTATCAGGGTAATGCTGGCCTTGTAAAATGAGTTTGGAAGTGTTCCCTTCCCTTCTACTTTTTGGAAGAGTTTAAGAAGGATTGGTACTAATTCCTCTTTAAATGATTGATAGAATTCACTAGTGAAGCCAATATAGTAGCCACTAGCCACATGTGACAATTAAGCACTTGAAATAAGGCTAGTGTGACTGAGGAAATTAATTTTAAATTTTATTACTTTTAATTAATTTAAATTTAAAAACTTAAACTTGATTATTAGAAAACATTTAAGTACATTTGGAACAAATTCAAAATGTGAATTTACTTTTCAAATGTATACATTTCATGAAATGTAAATACAATATTCATGAAATCTAAATACATCTAAAATGTTTCTGATGAAAATTTTGTATCTGAATTGATGTGTGCTATGAATGTAAAATTCACACTGGCCTTCAAAGACAGTATGATAAAAATAATGAAAAATATCTCATTGATATTTGTTATTTTGATAATCTATGGAAATGATGGTATTTTTTATATATTGGGTTAAATAAAATTATTATAAAAATTAAGTTAAACATTGTACTTGAGGTTCTAATCAGGGCAATTAGGCAAGAAAAAGAATAAAAAGCATCCAGATCGAAAAGGAAGAAGTAAAACTCTATTCACAGGTGATGTGATTTTGTGTATAGAAATTCCCAAGGAGGGTGGGGAGGAAACAGAACTAATAAATGAGTTCAGCAAGGTTGCAGGATGTAAGACAAATATATAAAAATCAGTTGCATTTCTACACAGTCACAATCAACAACCTGTAAATAAAATTAAGAAGCAGTTTTATTTACAATAGCTTCAAAAGGAATGAATTTAACCAAAGATTTGTAAACCTTATACTCTGAAAACTATAAAACATTGTTGCAAGAAATGTTCTAAAATTAGTCAGTGGTAAACTTTCTACTGAAAACCACTGAGTTGTATACTTCAAAATAGTGAATTTTATTATTTCATTATTATTTATGTTTATTATTTATATTTCAATAATGTTGTTATAAAAATTAAGTTCACCTATAATGTGGCTTACATCATATTTCTACTGGACAGTGGTATTCTAGCCCTTGTAAAGAAGACATGGAGATTTTTAATCATCGTTCTCCTGTATCTATCTGAGAAATTTCATAATCCCATTGTAAATAGCAATAAAACCCTCTTTTGGGAGAAACAGTACCTGACATTTTCTTCCAGCTGTAAGGTTTTTAATGCATATTATGTCATTTGGTCCTTATACCTTCCCAGGAGGAAGGCAGGAAGAGGTTATTATTCCCATTTTACAGATGGAGACACTAAGATTTCAGGGATGGAAAAGTACTCACCCTCGGTAATCGACTCTTGGAACTCAGACACCGGACTCAGTTCTCCAGGTCCTTTATACCATAAGCTCTCCATCTGCCCTCAACCCTTACCCATCCAAATTTGTTTGACACAAGTGACAAGAGTCATTCCAGTCTCCCTCAGGACCTCAGAGCTGATCTGAAAGACTTAGAGAAGTGTGTCAAGACTACCACCTTTATCCCATGGGTCACAGCTGTCACCAAAAAATGGCAGGTTGGGACATTTGGCAGTTTTGATCTCCTTGACCAGACTACTGGAGGTTTGGTCCCACCCCTGAGATTCTGATGTCAGGGTTGGGGCCTGGGCACTGAGACTTTTGAGAGCTCCCCTGATGATTCTTGTGTGTAGCCAGGGTTTGGAACCATCACCGCAAGTCTGTGGTTTCAAATCTGCATCCCAGAAGGTGTCATGTTTGACTCACACATGATGAATGCATGTTTAGATTGGATTTATTGTCAATATTTAAAAGCATGGAATTTTTACTTAAACCTGGATATCCAGCTTCTTCGGAGGGCTGAGGAACTCTGGCAACTGGGCCTGTATCCCTGTGTAGTACCAAATGGCTGGGGCTGAGAAGTGGCTACCCCTTTACACGGCTGGGGTGGGGCCCCCCACGTCCCCTCAGTTCACACCACTCTTTATTGCTGCCCGGTAGGGCTTTCTGTTCGAGGCTGGGAAACAGGCCTATTGACAAGTAAGTGTGGGAGCTCAGACCTTCTTAGCTGTTGACTGAGCTAAGCAAACATCTCTTTCTTTCCCAGCCGGAGAATATACTGTGTGTCAATCAGACAGGACACCAAATCAAGATCATTGACTTCGGGCTGGCCAGAAGGTAAGGGCGTTATGTTTTGGCACATTGACAGAATTCCTTGGGGACTCCTGGAGGCTCTCCTGGGCATGGTCACCTTAAAGGTCAGCCAAGTTTTAGTTATAGGACTGACATGAGAAAGCTCTCTCATGAAGACTGTGTAGACAGTCCTTGTTACTACTGTGGGGGCGGGGCCGGCTTTGTGCTGGAGGTCCTGCTTCTGCTTCAAAGGTTGTGGGACTGACTGCACTTCAAACCACCCGTGAGAGCAGAGAGGAGAGTGACAGTTAAGTGGGGGTCACTGAATGGGGGTGCTGAACAGCTCATTCTGTTCATTCCCCAGGCCTCCTGGGGCCGGGATGTAGTGAGCTGTGTGATGCATCATGACCAACCCTGCCCCCTAGAAAGTGACTAGGTAAAACAGGGAAGAGCGTTTGTGACAGTTTAGGGTGATGCCTCGGGTAAGTGGTCCTGGGCACTCATGGCTGGGTTAGAGCTTGGTAAAATGCCCACATAATGCAGTTACGAAGTTTATATGAGATAATGCATCAGCAGTGCAGACCTATGAGGTGGTTAGGTTATCAAGTTTCAATGCATAAACTGAGCATCATATGTAATTTTAGAAACATTAAAGTTCCATAAAATGTCTAAAGCCTGGTGAAGTATAGGTAGTTTTACTCTTTGATCCTGTCCAGTCTCATATGTGGTAAACATAGGGCTTCTATGGGGCTCTTGCCTGTGGTGTGCACACCCAGAGGCCATAGCAGACCCTTGGCATTGGGGAGGGCTGTCCTGCAAATCTTCAGGCATCCACATCTATAAATATGGCAATAAATATATGTCCATTCTCCAGGATTCCTCCAGAATCTTATTTCTACCAAGAATGACATTTCCCTGAGGATCACATATTTTCTAGGTAGGTCTTCACACCACAGCTAAATTTCCAAGTCTTCAACTTTTCTCTTACTCTGATGGTTGTTTTCCACAAAGAAGTTGTTTTGGACACTTTTTGAGCCTTGCAGCTCTTCCACTCCACCCACAAGGGGAAGAAAGGACAGTCTTGTCCCTGTGGACACAGAGCTGCTTGCCTGAGCTCAGCCTCTGGTGTCCAGCGCCTGCCTCCCGGAGGTGGCATCAAACCACAATGGTGGTCTTCCTAAGTCTCGCCTCTTTGAGGTGTAAAGATGCATTTTCAGAGCCCCACTTGATGGATGGGAGGCCAAATATGATGTCATTAGAGTAACAGCAGAAGTTCATATTATCCCACTGTACCTGCAGGATCCCATTAACACAGTGTACCATATTTCATGAACAATGCCAAATCCCCTGACTCAGATGCTTAAAAATCACATTCGATCCATAATGTAAAAAAATTGCTTAATATTTTCCCAAATACTAGCTAAAATTGGGATGCATCCTATACACTTGCATGTCTTATACCCTAGAGCCATGTTTTTCAACCTGTTTTTTATGTCACTGTCTGCCCTCCAAAGGCCTTTTTAACCATCTTTCCTAATCTCCTGGCCCCCTCCTCATGGAATTTAATACTCAGATGTACTGAGTATCTGTTTAAGTACTGTGGCCTTTTGGAGAGCCACACACCGTTATAATAGCTAAGACTTTTTTGTCCTTTCCCCAAGAATCACTTCACCCACTGTGGGGCAATATTGTGTTCCTTGAGAATGCACACACCAGTGTATGCAGTATCCTCCCAAATGCCAGGTGACCAGTTGCCAAATGAGTATTTACAGTGACACACTATAAATTCAAAGCAAGAAGTAAACTGAGGCTCCTGGAGTCTGGGAAGGCTTCTCTGAGCAGCCAGAAGAGAAGGATGGACAGGGTTTTGTTACCTGCAGGCAGCAGTATGTGGTAAATGTTTGGCAACCAGCTGCGGCAGGGCGTGAGAGGAGGTGTGGTTGATATGTAACCTTTGCTAAGCTGGGTCAATTTCAAGCTACTAACTTGATGCCACTGAATGCTGAGTTGGGAGGAGATGCACGATTGGCTTTCGTGCACCTGCCAGAACCGGCTTCAGCATGGAGGGGAGGCAGGAGGGAGAGTGTGAGTTACAGGCTGGCACCAGGATGCGCACTGCACATGAGCAGGCTGGTCTGGGGGAAGGCGGGAGCTGTGGGTGAGGAGTCCTGAAGAGGGAGGCTCAGAGGTCGGAACGTTATCCTGTAGGCCACTGAGCCTTAGCTGGTGGGGAGGTGAAAAGGGCTTTAGGCCAATTCACCAAAAATCAGTTACCAGAATCTATGCCCAAACTCTCAGACAATCCATCCAAGACTCAGATAAACTTGTTCATCTGGTCAAGGGCATTAAGGACAGTATTTCTGCCAGCAGGACCAGAGGTAGAGAGAGGGCAAGTTCAAGAAAATAAACACAGGAAACTATGCTTAAGAGAAAGCCACCCATGAGAAAACTGCTGGGCACTGGAGAAGTGCAGGTGTCTGAAAATGTGATAACTTGGGAAACTGCCCTCAGTGGGGCTGGGCTGGCAGACTCGCAAGTTCCAGCTGTAAAATGAAAGAAAAACATCAAAAAACATCCTCAGTGGTCTGGCAAACTGGTCATTCAGCAGAAGGATTGTTTGTAAAATTGACTTTTGCCAAATTGCCTGGGAAGTGTGCTCTTCTAAGAGGCAGGATCTGTGGGGGGAACATACAGGTTGAGAGAGCATATTTTATACTTCAGAATAATCAAATGTTTGTAAAGAGGGAGAAAATGACAAATTATCCCCATAATACAATCTATAGAAAGTACAGTTGTATTTCTGGGTGAGGCTATGAGAAGGTGCTGAGACGTTTAGGAGAGCGGGGGGCATAACAAATCTTCAGAGGCTCTGACATGCAGCAAGAGGGACGAGTGTTACACCAGGCTGGGTGGTGAGAGCCACCAATGGGTCTCACTAGGGACATGTCAAGGGGTCGAGGGTGGTGACAGGATGGGAAGTATCTTGTGTTGGCTTGATCTCCAAAATGTTGGGTGCAGGGATGAGCCTCCTGCCTCCCAGTCCAGTGCTCAGATTGGAATCCAAGCCCATTTCATCAGATCTTTTAGCAGAGCAAGGAGGTGCCTACCCCAAACCCTACGAGGCTCCAACTTCACATGTGGCTTTATGATCACAGAGGGCCTTGTGCTAGGAATCTGGAGAGGGAGTCTGGTGGGTATTTTGACAACAGCTTTGGGGTGGGTGTATTAGTTAACAATTTCCACAACTGTATAACAGATCACCCCAAAATGTGACTTAAAACTATATTTATTCTCATCCACACATTTTTGAGTTAGCTGGGGAAGCAGCCTGCTGGACCCAACTCATATTAGCTCATAATAAGGAATCTTGTAAGCTAGTTGTTAAACATGGCCATTATTAAAAACTAAATTGTATTAGCTCACAATTTAAAAATTATATTAAAAACAAAGACATCACATTTAAAAAAATATCACTTCCTAATTATTTTACTACATTTCACTATTACTTATGCTCATGAGGTTATTTATACCTATTGTTACCTGTATGGTGGGAAGACTAGAATGGTGTGCCAATCTCTTCCCAACTCTTCATCCAGTGACATCATGATGGTACTTTGAAATCAGACACGGTGAGATCAGTACTTATACCACAGACATTAGCAAATGCTACAAATCGGGACTTTTAAAGAAATCAGATAGCTGATTGTTAAACTTTTACCTACACATTTCTGGTTGGGAGTCACTGATCTAGGCTGAGTTGAGCTGGGCTGGGATCTAAGATGCAGGGCAGTGAGGACAGGTGTGCTCCAGGTGTGTGTCATCCTCCTCTCATGGTGATAGCAGAGGAGCAGGAGGGCATGCCTAGCTTGGAGTTGGCCCATTGTCACTTCCACTCACATTCCACTGGCCAAAGCATCTCACATGGCTAAGCCCAGCATTGTGGGATGGGGCAATATATGCCATCTCTAGTGGAAGGAACTACAGAGTCACATGACACAGGATGTGGATACAGAGCAGATGAAGCTGGGGAAACAAGAATGCACCCTGGGAAAGGATGTCCAGGGGCTGAGAGCCTGGGTTTTTCTCCTCAAGGGGAAGGCTCTTCCTCTCTGTTTGGCTCCTTGACCCTGAGACTTGGGTCAGCTGCCAGTGCAGGGGAGAAGCAGGCTGCCAGAGGAAGATTCTCACTCTCCTCCTCTCCCTGTTTTCCTGCCACAACATGGCCCTAAGGTGATCTTTGTTACTCTCTCGCTGAATGGATGTAGGCTGTGTTGGCTTGAGATCTGCACTTGCCCGACTCAGAAAATTTGGAAGAGAGGAGATATACTTTGAAAACTCACTTCCCTGATTTAAGAGAATCAGAGCACATTGGCAGAATACTTATTTTATTCTTCTCTATTTCTCAATTGCCTCATCTGTAAAATGGGGACAGTGATCTCACCAACTTCATGGGGCTGTTGTGAGGATGAAGTTTACATAAATAAAACTTTTAGCATGATATCTGGCAAATAGAACATGCCAATTAATTTTAAAATGAAAACCTCATTTTTTTAGAACAGTTATAGGTTCACATCAAAATTGGGGAGGAAGGAACAGAGATTTCCCACTTATCTCCTGTCCTCATACATGCAAAGCCTCCCCATTATCAACATTGATAAGCCTACATTGACACATCAGAGTCACCCAAAGTCCATAGTTTACATTAAGGTTCACTCTTGGTGGTATACATTCTGTGGGTTTGGACAGATGTGTAACGACTGTATTCATCATTATATTGTCACCCAGAGTATCTTCACTGCCCTAAAAACCCTCTGTGCTTCACCCTTTCTCTCTCCCTCCTCTCTAACCCTTGGCAACCACCAATCTTTTCAGTCTCTCCATAGTTTTGCCTTTTCCAGAAGATCATATACTTGGAATCACAGTATGTAGCCTTTTCAGACTGGATTATTTCAGTTAACAATATGCTTTTAAAGTTGTTCTTCCATGTCTTTTCATGGCTTGATAGTTCATTTATTTTTAGTGTTGAATACTGTTCCACTGTCGGGCTGTCCCACACTTTATTTATCCACTCACCCACTGAAGGACATCTTTGTTGCTGCACATTAAATTTTAGTGAGAGATTTTCTTCTTTTTCAAAAGTGAGTCTAAAAATTAACTTTCGCCTACCCCCTTCCCGTTCAGCCATGAGCTCTCTTTCTAGCTGTCCTTAAACTTCATGTCCAGGATGCTTTCTCTAGTTCTTTTTCTTTTTGTAATTATACATAAGACACGTAACATAAAATTTAACATGCTAGCAATTTTTTAAATTAGTTCAGCAGTGTTTAATTACACATTGTTCACATTGTTGTGCAACCAATCTCCAGAGCTCTTTTCAGCTTGTAAAACTGAAATTCCTACCCACTAAACAACTACTCCTCAATTTCCTCCTGCCTCCAGCCCCAGGAAAGCATCATCCTACTTTCTGTCTCTGAATTGACTACTCTGGGAACCTCATATAAGTGGAATCCTACAGTATTTTTCTTTCTGTGACTGGCTCATTTCTCTTATCATAATGTCCTCGAGATTCATCCATATTGTAGCAGGTGTCAGAATTTCCTTCTTTTTAAGGCGGAATGATATTCCATTGTGTGTATATTCCATATTTTGTTTATCCATTAATCTGTGGATGGATACTTGGGTTGCTTCCACCTTTTTGCTCTTATGAGTAATGCTGCTTTGAACATGGGTGTATAAATGTCTCTTCAAGACTTGGCTATCAATTCTTTTGGATATATACCCAGAAGTAGGGTTGCTGGATCATATGGTAGTTCTTTTAAAATTTTTATGAAGGCCTGTCATATTGTTTTCCATAGCAGCTGCACCATTTTACATTCCCAACAACAAGGGTTTCAATTTTTTCACATCCTAGCCAACACTTGTTAATTTTTGTTTTTTTCTGATGGTGTGAGGTGATCTCTCATTGTGGTTTTGATTTGCATGTCCCTGATGCTCAGTGATGTTGAGCATTTTGCCTTTCTGTAACTCATACCATCTTCCCTCTAACCACATTGTATGATAGAGCAGTCCTCTACACAAGGTTTGTCTCTGCTCATTTGTGTGGCTGCAGGCCAAATAAAATAGATTGATCTTCCCTCCTTTTCAGATTGTAAATACCTAGAGGAGGAGGAGGATTGTCATTTTCTTGTTCTCCCCAGTGACTTAATCTGCATTTAGGGTCTGGGGGCGTGATGCTTTCCCAGTAAGCCACGTGTGGTAAGAAACGAGGTCCAGACAATAAGGCTGACAGGAAGAGTTGGGGAGGAATTAGCCTGGCAGCCACATCTTCTCCCAGAACTCACTCCCACTATCCTCTGCACCCCCTCCTCACAGATACAAGCCTCGGGAGAAGCTGAAGGTGAACTTCGGCACTCCTGAGTTCCTGGCCCCGGAAGTCGTCAATTATGAGTTTGTCTCGTTCCCCACAGACATGTGGAGCGTGGGAGTCATCACCTACATGCTGTGAGTGCCCGGGGGCCTGGCTCCCCAGTGGGGATGGGGGCCATGTGTCTTGGTTTGGGTATCCTTAGGTGCAGCAAAAATTTGAGTGCATGAAGTTTATTGGCGAGGTGTTCCTGGGAAACCCCAGAGGACCAGGGAAGTGAAATGCGGAAGGCAGGCAGCCAGTAAAGTGTGTGTTGTAGAGCCAGTAACCACTGTGGGCATGTGGCGCTTAATTCTGCGTGGAATCTGGGGTCCGCTGAGGGACACCCCCTCAGGAGTTATTTTAGCTGAGGGGTGAGGGGGCTGGGGTATTTATACTGACTCTAATCAGTTGTTGCCAGTGGGCTGGTCCCAGGGGTATTAATTTCCTGAAACTTCTGGGTGTATAAATCAGCTTCCACTGGAAAAAAAACCCCTCCAGCAAAGAAATGCAGATGTGGGGCTAGAGTGCTGTGAAGCGGTAAGAAGGGGGGCGTCGGGGCGGGGCACCCGCTGCTGCCCTCTAACCTTGTCCCTCCCTGTTTTCTGTGTGTGAGGAGGCAGAGTTAGGACGGGCTGAGAGGCGATCTGTGCACAGACTTAAAGTCCTCCCCTTCCTCTCCCACCGTGGACTTCCCTCAGCTACTTCATCGGAGGCCCAACAAAACCATGCTTTACTCCCAGTCTTACCATCACGGTGTCACTGTTTCCCCACGCTTTGTAGGTGTGCTGCACCAGGCGGGGAAATTTGTGACCTGAGTCTAGCCAGTTAAGTTGTCCTGTCTCTCCACTCTCCTCTAGAGGAGCCTAATAAAGCCAGTTTTCCTTTGGGCCCTGAGGCCTGGGTCGTATCTAAAGGAGCCTGGATAATCTCAGGGACATGCCGAGCTATTTTTAGAATAAGTCAAATGTACCTGATAAATGGACTTATTGGGTTGGGCCCCAATTTCCTCTTATGTCACAGTAAGGGGAATACAGTGACTGTGACAGGGGATTTATTCCAGCACTCTTCCTGCCTTCAGTTTTTGGGTCCTTCCACTTCCTCCCATTACTGAGCACACTGGACTGTCTCCTATGGAGAAGCAATGAAGATGCTTTTCTCTCGAACCCTCTAGGTTCTGGTTAGTTCTGCTCGACCTTGTCGATGTGTGTCGACAGGTGTGGCTTCCACACACTGACGGTCCTTTCTCTCCTCTGTAGACTCAGTGGTTTGTCCCCGTTTCTAGGGGAAACAGATGCCGAGACGATGAATTTCATTGTGAACTGTAGCTGGGATTTTGATGCCGACACCTTTGAAGGGCTGTCGGAGGAGGCCAAGGACTTTGTCTCCCGGTTGCTGGTCAAAGAGAAGAGGTACCGTTTATTGCTTGTCACCCACGATCCGTGTTGATCTGGGTGCAGGCCGCTGTGGGCAGCGCTGCTGAAGCTAATGGTCTTTTCTTCCTGTGGACAGGCTCTGTCCAGGACTTCTCAGTCTGCTACTTCTTTGGGGGAAAACAATATAATGAGGGAAAGGGACAAAGGAAATCAATTAAAAAACAGCGAGGAGCGTAAAATCTGGACAGAGTTTTAGAAAGGACCATATGTGCAAATTAGGCCTGTTTCCAAGTCATCACTCTTAACAGGCTAATGTTGAAAAAGAGTTGAGATATGCAGCTGTTACTCCCTAGAAAAAAGGGCAGAAAACCCTATTTCTTGGCAATGAGGACCTACTTAGCTTTCAGCAGCTGTACCAAGGTCATGGGTGGGGCCGTTGAGTTTTCCTATATTCAGACATTTGGGAGTGACTGGGCCCTGACGCAGCTCTGGGTTCCCTGGCCTTGACTGTTTTGTTTCTTCTTGATTGTGAAAAGTTAAATGAAAGGAGAAATATTTCTAATTCAGATGAACAGGTTGACATTATTCTTTGGAAGGAGATATAAGCTTCTTTCAAATCTCATGTTCTTTTATTTCTTAAGAGCGATTCCAGGCACAGCTGGCCTGCCCCACTCCCGGCTCTCCCTGGGAGGTGGTGATTAATCACTGGGATCCATCCGTCCCTCTACAGAGGGCAGGGAACGTTTGGCTGACGGCCTTCTTCCACTTGTAAGGATGGGCATTTTAGATAGGAGGAGGTCTTTTTTTAGTACGCGGCATGAATCTGCCTAAATGATGAATCTGTTCCACTGACTCAGCTTCCTACCCAATTGAACAAATTTGGGGGAAACCAGAAAAGGCAACCCCAACTAAAAGTCTTAACTGCTGTTTGATCTCGCAGCTGCAGAATGAGTGCCACACAGTGCCTGAAACACGAGTGGTTGAATAATTTGCCTGCCAAAGCTTCAAAATCGAAAGTTCGCCTCAAATCCCAACTATTGCTGCAGAAATACATGGCTCAAAGGAAGTGGAAGGTATTTGTTTTTCTTTTAGTAATGTGTTTCGAAAGAAGGACATTTGTCTTCTCAAAATTTACTTTGAAAGAAGTGTACTAAGTTTTTACTTACATTTTGATTCTAAGTTGAAAAATTATTTAGGGGGAAAATTTTCTCATGTCAAACCCTGTTACCTTGATTTAAAAATGTCACAAACCTAAAATGACAGGCATAAAAGTAGCATTTAATTCATACTCCTGTGGACACTTGAAGGGACAGAATGAAGTTAGAGCATCTGTTCTCAGTGACCACAGCAGGGAAGTGCTCAGAATTAATGCGTGGAGCTTGATGCCAATTCCTCCACGTTTCAGAAATAGGGCCTAGGAAAGGACCTATTAGGCTTTAAAAGCTTAATTTTGTTTACAACAGAACTCTTTGGTACCATGGACATAAACTGTATCTCAAAAACAGTTGTCCTCCAGGGAGGTGGCTTTCCAATATTTTGATACTGACTCAGATCCTCAATAAAAAAACAAAACCAACATGCTTTCCCCAGAGAGCCGATGCACGTGTGAAACAAAAATACCACGACATTTGCTGCACAGAGTGTGAGGCGCTCTGGTGTTTTCTAATCTATGATATTTGGTCTATGGTTTTTGTATCACAATTTTGAAAACATCATTCTAGGGTTCTTCATTTTTCACCTGAAAAGGGCAGGATAACATATTTTCTCATTTCATACTTGCTCCAAACATGCCCCCAAAAGTTATGTGACTTCTGTTAGAAATTTGCTAGAATCTTTTTTTCCCCTTTAGGTTATCAATTTAAAAAAAAGTCAAGTGGTGAAACTTGCTTAAGTTCTTTTTTAATTTCTTCTTAAAGCAATTGGTCTAAAATATGCTCCCCTCCTCACCCTTTTTTTCTCTCCTTACCTTAAGAAACACTTCTACGTGGTGACTGCTGCCAACAGGTTAAGGAAATTTCCAACTTGTCCCTAATCCTCAACTCTGCTGCTCCTGTGAGCCCAGAAATTATTGAGACTGGTGGTGAAGTCACGACTGAAGATTTTTACTAATACTGATTCCACTTAAATTTTTTGTTAAAAAAGAAGAAAGGTTATGGCTGTTGCCTTTCTTGTGGCTGGAAAGTGGCTGTAAAGAAAGTGACTTAACTTTTTTCTGCGTTATGAGATCACTAAGTTGAAATGCTGTGATTACTTTTCCAGTGTGCCTACTTTTGGTGATACGTGTAGGCATGTTTTAAGCAGGTAGGACAGCTTCTATGTCAAAGCTTATATGTCAAATTTAAAATCTAAGCTTACTCTGTTTAAAGAACCCAGTGGACTGTCACACAGGGCATGTTATTCAGTGTTACCTCCTCTAGTGCAGAGAATTCCTAGCATTTTGATTTGTTCAAGCGTGAGCTGACATCTAGTGCATTTATCATGATTCTGGTATGAAGTAACATGGATTTAGGGCAGTGATCCTCAACCTGGTTTTAACTTGTGCTTCCTTTTGAGAATCAAAACACACATTCTTTAATATTCTTTAAAATCTCAAAATACACTGACCGTCACCGCTAAATCAGAGCAAGGATAGTTGTGAATATGCTTTTTAAATCTGTGCACACCTCTACTGTCTCCTAATTCGGCCCTGTCGTGGCATTAGCCTTCTCCCTCCTGATCTCCCTTCTTCAGTTATGAATCTGTGGTTGAGTGAGTCTGGAATCTGACATGCAACATGTGAGAGAGGGAAGAATGTAATGATGTTCAGCTTTCTGAGAGAAACACAGAAACGACGCATCATGAGAAAATAAATGAAAACTGCTCTTCTACTGATTAACAAGTACTTGATTATTCAAAAGCAAACAGTCCCTTTAATTTCCTCATTTTTTGTGCTATTCCCATCTCCTTGGGTCAGCAGTTTTAGTTACTTTTAGTTTTTAATTAGCCATGCTACAGTTTCATGGCCTTTCAGGATTTCTGCCCAAAAGAAAGACTGGTTTTTTTGGTAAAGAACAGAGGGGTGGGGAGGGAGGCAGAGGATGGAGAGATTAATCCTACTGCTGCATTTCTTCAGTAGTAACTTTCCTCTGGAATGCTAACCCTTGTTGGGAAGCTAAGATTTTCAGTACCAGCACATCTAGGCGTGCTCAAGCCGGCCAGCTAATGGATGAACATCAGAAAAGGCGGCTGCTGGAAACCTCCCTTTTACAGGAGAATAACAGCAATTTGGTAAAACGCTGTCTTTTTAAGGTATTTTGAGGGCAGCCTCCAGAAGAAGCCAGAGAGGGTATCTTATAGTTCTATCTATTAGTGGAGTGATTCTTCCCTTCCATAGGACCCGACATTCTTCGGAAAAGCTACGAAACTTCTCCCCCGAAAAATGTACAGTTAGTTATCCTGATGTAGAGCACTGATGCCTAACCGGAATATAATATGAGACATAATTAAAAAATTTCTGATAGTGCCTCTTAAAAAAAACCTGGTAAAATTAATTTTAATAATTGATTTAACATGAGGTGTCAAAACCTATTTCAATATGTAATAATATAAAATTATTAATGAGGTATTATATATATATTTTCATACTGTCTCCAAAATCTGGTGTGTATTTTATACTTAAAATAGACGTCAATTCAGACTCTAGGTTTAATTTGTATTTAGATTTCATAAAATTTACTGTGGAAGAATATACTCACATACTCAAGTTGTTTAAAGCATCTTAAATGTTTTCTAATGATTGAATTAAGCATTGTTAACTAAAATGAAATTCATTCCTGCCATTGCATTAGTCACATTTTAAATGCTTAATAGCCACATAAAGCTTATATATAGGACAGGGCAGATCCAGAGAAAGTCCTGTATCTATCAAATTCTAATTTTTCTCCTTATATGCTATTATTTTCCATCTAGAGAAACAACTTCTCTCCAGAGTCCCTTTGAGGGTGTTTAGGCCAGGCCCACACAAGTGACAGGTAATGCAGAAGTTTGTCCTTCTCTTCTGAAATGCAAGGGAGCTTTTATGAAGCTTTACTTTTTTGGATATTTTTAGTGCTCTACGTTGCTGGTGTGTAAGCAGCTCAAAAGTTCTTTAGATTGCAACTTCGCTAGTCTCAAATATTTCTAATGGGACTTTTAAATCTGAATGAACAATCTTTGGAAACTGCTGTGCAGAGAAACTAAAAGGTAGTCAGGACCCACTTTTTTTACTTGTCAGATTTGGTGAGGATGGGGAAAATGGAATTCTTCACTTTTGATGACTATGCATCCAAATGAAAGTCATGCTCACACTTTGACCTAGCAATTCCGTCTCTAGAAATTTATCCCCCAGCAATACTTGAACAAGTGGGCAGAGATTATTGCAAAATTGCTTCCTGTATCAAAATGGCCCAATGAAAACAATCTACACGTGTCTATCAGTATGAGTTTAGTTAAACTGTACCACATCAATACAGGGGAATACCTTGTAGCTGTTAAAGATAGATCTTGATGTACTGATTCTTATTACAAAAAAAAAAAAATAGAACATATATATGGTATCATCCCATTTGTGGTGAGACATGCTTTTTATATGTGTTAAAATTTTCTAGGATATGCAAGAAACTTAACCTTGGAGTATGGAAAGTGGGTGATGGGGAGAGAAGAAATTCCACTTTTCACATTATAATTTTCTGAATCATTTAAATTTTTTTAACAATGAGCATGTATCGCTTTTATAATTAAAAACTGGCAACCCACTGTCAAGTGTGGATCTTGTTTTGACCCTGATTTGGAGCAAATAAACAATAAGACATTTTAGAGACATGCAAAAGAATTTAATTCTAAATTGCATAGCTGATGATAGAATTTCTATTAATTTTGTTAGGTCTGATAATGACAATGTGGTTATAAATGTAGGTTAAATGACTTCAGGAAAAAGGGAGCTATAGTTAAGCGAGTGTGGCAAAATCTTAATTGTTGGGTCTTGGAATTTAGTATGGGGTTTCATTATACTGCCCTTTAGTGAAGAGGTATATATTTGTATAAATTTGAAAACTTTTCATGGTAAAACATTTTTTAATCAGTTGAATAAACCAAGAAGATCTGTTAAAGAAATGAGCCTCCAAAAAGTCTTTACAATAGTACTAAAGTATAAGGACTAAGTAGTAAGCCTCCATCACTGGGATTATGTGTTGGAAAATTGTAGAAAGGATTCCTGCCCCAGGAGGGCATTTGGCCAAGGCTGCTTTAGGGCAATTCCCCAACCCTGCAACTAATTTAAGAAATAACCTACTACATACCCATGTTTATAGCAGCATTATTCACAACAGCCAAGACGTGAAAGCAACCTAAATGTTCATGGACAGATGAATGGATAGACAAAGTATAGTATATCCACACAATGGAAAATTATTCAGGCTTAAAAAGGAGAGAAATTCTGACACTGTGCCACAATATGGATGAACCTCAAGGACATTATGCTAAGTAGAATAAGCAAGGTACAAAGAAAAATACTGTATGGTTCCACTTAGATGAGACAGCAGTCAAATTCAGAGGCAGTGGAAGAATGGTGGTTGCCAGGGGCTGGGGGAGGAAGGAGTGGAAGCTGTTCAACGGGTTTCACGGGTAGAGGCAGCTTTGGGAGATGAAGAGTTCTGGAGATCACATAACGTGAATGTACTTAACACTACCATACAATACACCTAAAAATTGTTAAGATGGTAAATTTTATTTTACATGTATTTTACCACAATAAAAAAAAAAGTGAATGCGCTTTAATTTTACCTGATGATGAATACATTGCTTTTGATCCAAAGCTAGAATTTAAATCTTGGCACCAAAATCAAATTATATACCTTCTTAAAATAAATGAGGAAAAGACTCACTTATCCATTTTAGATCAAAGTAATCACAGAAGCCCTATTTAGTGATTGCCTTCTAAGTGTCACACACTTTACAAATATTACCTTTAATTCTCATAAGGTAGCTAATATTTCTATTTTATAAACAAGGAAATTGAGGCTCGTTAATGTGAAATTTCCTTAGGGTATAAGTGGCAGAGCCAGAATTTAAATGCAAGTATGTGTGGTTCCAAACCTCGTATATTCATTCCCCTCTACCACAGGGCTGCAGGATGTTATGTCTGTGGCAGGATCATTTGATTATGGCAGTTCTCCAGCCTCAGTGTCCAGAATTAAAAGGGGCAGGGAAAGAAATCACTCTTTTACTCACTCCCATTCTATGAAGCAGGTTATACGCCTTATTTATAGCAGATAGGAGGAAACCACTATTACTATTGATACTATTATGGACAGGTTTTGAAACGTTGGATGCAATCACTTTATTGCATTTTTCATGGAAACATTTAATTAGATCGTGTATTCTTAATTTTAATTAAAATCATGTCTGGCCTTATGCCTCAGACTCCCTAGCAAGTTATCTTCCCAGGCCCTTTCCTATAGTTTTAAAGTTAAGTAGTATTTAATAAGGTTACATTTTTCAGTATGTGGATATCAAAGAAAATAAACCTTGGCCTCTTTTTTTTTTAAGGTATAACTGACTTACAGTGTTGTATGTTTCAGGTTACAATATAGTGATTCGATATTTCTATACATTATGAAATGATCACAGTAAGTCTAGTTACAGTCTGTCATCATACAAAGTTATTACCACAATATTGACTACATTCCCTATGCTGTACATCATATCTCCACAACCTATTTATTTTATAGCTGGCAGACTGTACCTCTTAATCTTCCTTACCTATTTCATTCATCCCCCCTACACCACTACCCTCTGGCAACCATCAATTTATTCCCTGTATCTATGAGTCTGTTTCTGTTTTATGTCTGTTCATCTGTTTGGTTTTTTTAGATTCCACACGTAGTGATTTGCCTTTCTCTGACTTATTTCACTTAGCATAAGATCCTCTAGGTCCATACATGTTGTCCCACTTTGGCCTGTCTCTTAATTTTTTAATATGATGCTAATATGTAATTCATTATATGAGATCTCTATATGTATTTCTCTCTATATTTTAATATTTACTAAAAACTTATACCAGGAACTGGGCTAAATGCTTTACGTGTATGAGCTCAGATACTCTTCCTCATTATTCTGAGGTAGACATCATTTTTATTTCTACTTATAGATGAGACATAAAGAAGGTAATCTGCTCAAGGTTTCAAAGGTGGTATGTAGCTGAGCAGGGTTTTAAACCCAGATGAAAAAAAAAAAAACAAAACCCAGATAGTCTGATTGAAGAGTTTGTGCTCTGGTGAGGAATACAGACCACTTTTTTTTTCCTGCGAGAGTAGATGGCATTCGGCATAGCAAGGATTCGCCCACACTGGTAACAAGTGCACCTTGAATGCATATAAACATAACATTTATTAACTTAGGTTGTGTCATATATTGATTTAGTCAAACAAAGAGATTTATATAAAAACTTAAATAAAATCTTTAATAATCCATTCAGCCTGAATTTCATACTCTGGGTAGGACAGGACACTGTCTTTTGCTCAAAAGAAAACAAAAAGAAAAATGGCTCCAGTTCCATTTTGTAGGAGCGTGCAGACCTGTGGGGAGCCAAGGCTAAGCCGACTAGGCACTGTGGCTGATCTAATGAATTTCCTGCCCATGTCAGGGGGGAGGCCTGCTGCCCGTAACTCAGCCCCATTGCTGGCTTCTTTGCTATTAAAGCAATCTAATCTTAGGATCCTTGTTATAAAAGTTCAAACAAAATTCCAAAGTGCTCACATCTCCCTTGAGGTGGCAGGTGCACTGTTGGTTTGCAGTACCAGGTAGTCCGGAAGCTGAAATCACTCTGAGGTAGCCTTTTGTGCTTTGACAGCATTTTCC